GGCGGGGGTGGGTGGAGGGGGGGGGGGAGCATGCGGGCCCTCCTGCTGGAGCCATCAGCGAACCTCCTGATGAGGCGGCCACGAAACATACCAGTGTGTGCCAACACTGGGGGCGCGGGGCAGCATGCGGGCCCTCCTTTGGGGGTCGTCGGTGGAGCCCCCCTGTGTGGCCACGGAGCGTGTGAAGGGTGTGTCGAAATCTAAGCGTTGATTATACTAGTACTGATGTTGATGCCGTTGAGGTTGATGATGACCGTGAGGCATATGTTGCGGATGATGATAGCGATGCTGGTATATGTTGTTGACACTGCGAGATGACATCAGAAATCAAGACACCTGCATCATGTTTAAACTCGATGATGGTTACGGTCATGATGCTGTTGTCGATGGTGATGGTGATGGCGATGATCCGAATCATGACATGTTCATGTACATGTCGATGCGGATGATGTCGAGGATGCTTGTGATGCAGATGATGATGTTGATGGTGATGATTGTGATGCTGGTGACGGTACTGAAGGTAATGCTCTTGTTGATGATGACATTGTTGATGATGATGACGGTGTTGATGATGTTGTTGATGCTGATGACGTTGATTATGATGACGATGATGATGGGGATACTGATGCTGATGGCGATGATTATGGTGGTGACGTTGATGTTGATGATGACGCTGATGATGTTCATAGCCATCACCATACCGATGACGTTCATCGTGATTGCTGGGGGAGGTGTTCAATGGTGATGGTAATGTTGGTGGTGTTGGTGATGTTGGTCATGGTAATGTCGTTGCTGGTGGTAGTGGTGATGATGTTGTTGATGCTGGTGACGATTATGATGATGATGATGATGATGATGATGATGATGATGATGATGATGATGATGATGCTCATGATGATGATGATGATGATGATGATGATGATGATGATGATGATGATGATGATGATGATGATGATGATGATGCTGATGATGAAAGTGCGCCAGTGGATCTCCCTGAATTTACTAAAAGGGGGGGGGTCCAGAACCCCCTCCCCCTCCCCCCGTTCACGGGGGGGGGGGGTCCGGACCCCCCCCCCCCCCTCCCCTCCTTCAGGAGAGGGGGGGGTCCGAACCCCCCCCCTCCCTTGAAAGAGGGGGGGGGGGGGGGCGGACCCCGCCCCCCCCCCTCCCCCTCTTGGCGCTGGAAAGGGGGGGGGGGATCGGACCCCCCCCCCCCCCCTCGTGTAGGAAGTACGGAGTGGGGAGTGGTGAGTAGTGAGTAGTGAGTTATTGCGCAGTGCGTAGTGAGTATTGGGTAGTAGGTAGTGGGTAGTGAGTGGCGAGTAGGGAGTAGGGAGTAGGGAGTGGGGAGTAGTGAGTAGTGAATAGTGAGTAGTGTGTACTGATAAGTGAGTAGTGAGTGGCGAGTAGTGAGTAGTGAGTAGTGAGTAGCGAGTAGCGAGTAGTGCGTACTGAGTAGGGAGTAGGGAGTAATCAGTAGTGGGTAGTGAGTAGTGGGTAGTGAGTAGTGGGTGGCGAGTAGTGATTAGTGAGTAGTGAGTAGTGGGTAGTGCGTAGTGCGTAGTGAGTAGTGAGTAGTGAGTAGTGAGTAGTGAGTAGTGAGTAGCGAGTAGTGAGTGATGAGTAGTCAGTAGTGAGTAGTGAATACTGAGTAGTACGTAGTGCGTAGTCAGTAGTGAGTAGTGAGTAGTGATGAATAGAGAGTAGTGGGTCGTGGCAGTGGGTAGTGGGTAGTGAGTAGCGAGTAGGGAGTAGCGAGTAGTGAGTAGTGAGGAGCGAGTAGGGCGTAGTGAGTAGTGAGTAGTGAGTTGAGGGTAGTCAGTAGTGAGTAGTAGGTAGTGATTAGTGAGCAACGAGTAGGGAGTAGCGAGTAGTGAGTAGGGAGTAGGGAGTAGGGAGCAGTGAGCAGTGAGTAGTAAGAAGTGGGTAGCCAAGAATGGGTAGTGAGTAGCGATTGGTGAGTAGTGGGTAGTGACTAGTGACTAGTGAGCTGTGAGTAGTGACTAGAGACTTTTTAGTGACTAGTGAGTAGGGAGTAGTAAGTAGTGAGTAGTGAATAGTGAATAGCGGGGAGTGAGTCGTGAGTAGTGAGTAGCGAGTACGGAAGTAGCGAGTAGTGAGTACTGAGTACTATGTAGACAGTTTTGTGTAGGGAGTAGCGAGTAGCGAGTAGTGGGTCGTGAGTAGTGATTTGTGGGCGATGAGTAGTTAGTAGTGAGTAGTAGATAGTGGGTAGTGGGTAATGAGTAGTGATTAGTGGTTAGTGGGTAGGAAGTAGTGAGTAGTGCTTAGTGAGTAGTGAATATTGAGTAGTGGGTAGTGAGGAGGTAGTAGTGAGTAGGGAGGAGGGAGTAGTGAGTAGGGAGTGGTGAGAAGCGAGTAGTGGGTGGTGGGTAGTGAATAGTGGATAGTGAGTAGTGAGTTGTGAGTAGTGAATAGGGGGTAGTGAGAGGTGAGTAGCGAATAGCGAGTAGTCAGTCGTGGGTTGTGAGTAATGAGCAGTGAGTACTCTTTGGGGCCGGGGTTAGTGGTTGGGGTTAGGATTAGGGGTTTGGGTTAGGGTGGGGACTAGGGGTAGGGGTGGCGGGGGTCGGGTTCCGGAGTCAGGGGGGCGGCGTGGCGAAAGGGGGGGAGGGGGGGGGTTCGGACCCCCCCCCTCTTTTGAAAGGGGGGGAGGGGGGGGGGGGATCCCCGACGACGGATCGGGGAAAGGAGGGGGCGGGGGGTCCCCGACGACGGATCGGGGAAGGGGGGGAGGGGGGGGGGGTCCCGACGACGGATCGGGGAAGGGGGGGATGTCCTAACCCCCCCCTACCCCCCACCCCTTGGGGAGATCCAGCGGCGCACCCTCGATGATGATGATGGTGAGGATGATGATGGTGATGATGATGATGATGATGATGATGATGATGATGCCGATGGTGATTGTGATCATGCTGATTAGTATGATGATGGGGATGAGGACGGTGATGCGGATGCTGATGCTGATGGTGTTTACGCTGGTAAGTGTAGAACTGTTGGCGATGACGAGAACGACGAGGCCAGAGGATGAGGGAAGAGGAAGGAGTGACCCGTAGAGGGGACGCGGACATGATGAAGAGCTTCGCTTTCCAGCCTCGAGAGATCAGAGCTCAGTCTGCTATCCAAGTTGTATCCGAAGCACTGTACCCGCAGACCTGGAGGTTGACACCGACACCACTATCGGCAGTGTGCCTCCACCGAGGGAAGAGGATGGCGATCTCGGCGATGGTGCTAATTTTCTCGCTTCCAAGGCAACCGAATTATTGCCACCAACACCGAAATCGAGGATCATCTTCCCCCTGTGGAGGCAACCTGCCCATTTCTAGGCCTCCAATGTACCACTCTGCAGCTGTTCTGTTGTTTCGAAAGGCGTTTTTTTTTTTTTTTTTTTTTTTTTTTTTTTTTTTTTTCTCCAAGTTTCGAAACGTTTAGGGCAGGATCTCCGGAAATCTCCATGGCCGTCGGGGGACCTTCCCGGATGTCGTCCCCAAGCGCCCAGATTGGGCCTCGGGTTGTAGGGGGGCGATAAAAGGTGGGGCAGCGAGGGATTTGGAAAAGGGGCAATTTAGGGCCCCTAGAGAGGCTCATTGGGGCCCCAGAGATAGCTTGCGGGGCCCGCGAAGGGCAGCTCTCGTTCCCTTGCAAGTTTTCGCCCCCCTATTCATTTGCATCCGATCCGGTGAAATTTCTGGAAACTGCCCCCACGCACCCGGAGGATAGTCGCGCCTTGCCACTGGCTGCCTGTGTTGGAGAGCTCCACGCTTCTAGGGGTACAGCGTGAGGGCGTGGAGTCGTGGAGATAACCATTGTGTGCACCGATCGCAGCGCGCACTTGCCGGAATGATTCAGGTCCGGCCGCCGGTTTTCGGTGTGTCTCAGAAGTTTTCGGTGTGTCTCAGAAGTTTTCGCGCTTTCTGAGAAGCGTGTTACGTCTTCGGGGTAGGCTGAGATCATGTTTCTGAAGGCCAGGGGGCTTCCGAGCCTTCTGAGAAGGCTTTGCTTCTCACTTCCCCCCCAGTCTCCACCGCCTTCTGAGATGACGTGGGTCAATGCAAACGGGGAGCAGTCGGAGCGCCATATCTTGCAGGATCCTGCAGAGCCAGGGTTGCATTGACCCGGGCTTGGGTGCATGATCTTGCGGTCTGGATAGACCCAGGTCAGTAGATCCCCGAAGTTGTTTTGATAGACTGTGCTTGAAGTCCCTCGGGCTTGGGCAGGGACGCGCCGTTCAATATACTCCCCTCCTGACTGCCCAGCCCATGTCTTGCGTCGCACAGTCTTGCTACGCTATGAGCGCGCTGGCCATGGCCCCACGGGATTCCCATGCCAGGGGGCCCCCAGCGGTCATCGACTAGGGTCGCGGGAGACGGTGTCGCAGGCCTTCCTGGATTTCGGCATGGTATACAACATACTCCTTCTGCGGGGTGGCTTCGGTGTATTACACCTTTCCGCAGGGGGGTGCGATCTGACCCTGGCGGGGTGCCCGCGCCAGCCCCGTCCGGCCGCCGTACGGAAGCATCCCCCGAACATCGAACACCGTGGGCGTTGTCGAACGGCAGAGTCGGAGTTTACTTGTGACCACTCCTGGCTGGGCTCCGCAGAGCCGCTCCCTGTGGGAACCTTCGGGGGTTGTTCCTGAAAAGGTCTTAGTACACAGCAGAATCCTGGAGAGGCGGTGTCCCCCCCCCCGGGTTCGGACGCGTTTCGCCGGATGCAAGTAGCCTGCACCATGCAGGCAGCCTCGGGGGGGCACCCTCTGGCATGAAAGCCGGCTCGCCGTCGCCATGCCGGAAAGAGGAGGAGGGGGAGGTGGCCCCTGGCCTTGCCGAGAGGCTGAAGAGGAGCAGGAGGAGGAGGAGGAGGAGGAGGAGGAGGAGGAGGAGGAGGAGGAGGAGGAGGACGGGTCGCCTAAGCCCTTCGGAGCAACCCCCCCACCCTCCTCGAGGCCCCTTGCAGCCAAGGGGGGAGCAGAGGGCCAGGGGCAGCCGCAGCACCAGGACCATCGGCTGCAGTCCGCGGCGCGAGCAGCGGCGCGGAGGTCGACGCCGCCAGCTTTGGCATCGCTCGGACGTGTGCACTCTCTCCCGGCGGGGATGATTAAGGAGCAGCCTCGGTCATCCTGCGAAAAAGCCACGCACGAAACCGAAACAGACACGGGGAGTGGACGTCCGAGCGACGGGGAGGCCAGCGCCGCCGTCATCGTCACTGCCGCCGTCGTCGTGGCCGCCGCCGCCGTCGTCCTGGGGCACCCTGGGAGGCCTCCGGGGCACCGTCGACGTCGCCGCTGCCGTCGCCGTGGCTGTCGGGACCGTCGCGCCTGCCGCCGCCGCCCTCGCCACCTCCGCTGTCGTCGTCACTTGGCATCGCTCGGACGTGTACTCCAGATTTCGTAATAAAGGGAGGGGGGTCTCATTTCGGGGGGGGGTCTCTTCCAGGCTATCTTGGAGGGCCTGGGGGGTCTGGGGACGATGTTTTGGAGGGTTCTCCCACGAGGGGGGGTCTGAAATGGCTTGTCTTGGAGGGTCCAGACCCCCTCCCTTTTATTACGAACTCTGGAGTACATGTTCTCTCGGCGAGAGCCATCGCGGACCATCCTGGACCATCGAGCACAACAAAAACCACGCACGCAACCCCGAAGACTGCTCGGGAAACACGGACGTCCGAGCGACGGCGAGGTCCTCGCCGCCGCCGCCGCCCTCATCGTGGTCGCCGTCGTCGGTCCACGGTCCTCCTGGGTAGTCGAAGGCCAGACTGTCAGATTGGATTGGGCCCTAAGGGCTAATCTGGCCCGGCCAGACTGGATGATTCGGGTTATTCGCCAGACTGGATTCGCGTTGGCTCCCTCGCCAGATTGCCCCCCTTTGCCAGATTGGGCCTGCCAGATTGGCGCCAGATTGGCTTCGACTACCCAGTCCTCGTCGTCGATCTTCGATCCTCGGTCGTCGCCGTCGGCGCCGCGCGCCCGAGCGGCCGCGGCCCAAGCGGCGGCGCGCCGGCGCGAGCGGCGCGCCGCGATGGCGGGCAGGGCGGTGCTGCTCGCCAGCGCCCTGCTCGCGGCTGCCGCCCAGGCCTCCTCCTCCTCCTCCTCCTCCTCCTCCTCCTCCTCCTCCTCCTCCTCCTCCTCCTCCTCCTCCCCGCCGAGATGCCTCACTTCCCAGACCAGCGATCCTCCGCGATCCTCCAGGGTCCTGTGTCACGAGGAGGGGGTGGAGGAGGAGGACGACGACGAGGAAGGGGGGGAGAGGAGGAGGGGGAGAGTGGAGGAGGAGGAGGCGGAGCAGATGGAAGGAAGGAGAGAGGGGGGGGACGAAGGGGGAACGGGGGAATGAATGGAGGAGCGGGGGAGGTGGGGAGGAGGGGGAAGGGAAGGAGGAAGGGAAGGGGGGGGGTCCTCGTCGATCAAGCTATCATCTTCGATCCTACCTCTTTTCCATCCCCCTTCTCATCGGAGCTCGTCGTTGCCCCCGCCGTCGGGCTCCTCCTCGTCTTCGTCGTCGGCCGACGCACGGGGGCCGTCGGCGTCGACTTCGGCATCGTCAGCTTCATCTGCGGCGGCCGTAGGCGTCGCCAATGGCCCTCCGACGCCGTCGGCGGCCCCAGCGGCGGCGCGGAGGCCGGAGTCGTCGTCGCCCTCGGCCTCGGCCATTACCGAAGACCGAGGGCCGAAGCTCGCGGCGTCCTGGCGGGACCTCCGCCGGCCTCTGGAGGCTTCTGGGGACCTCCACAGATGATGGAAATGGCGTTGTTGCTGATCATCCCCTTCCTCCTCACCTGTCACGATCCGTCATCCTCTTCGTCCTCTCTGCTCATCCCTCCTTGTTTCTCCTCCTGCTGCTTCTTCGCGAGGCCCCTCTGCAGAAGGAGGCCGCGCTGCGACAGCTTCCGAGGTCGGCTTGGCAGCCCTTTTGGTCAGGGGTCCCAAGGACAGAGCAGGCGGATGCCCAATTCTACATGGTGAGGGGACGCAGGGAGGGACGAGGGGCATCCCTTCTCCCCCCACCTCTATTTCTCTTCCCTCGTGATCCATCCTCCTCCTCTTCCTCCTCCTCCTCCTCCTCCTCTGGCCTTCAGTGGAGCTCCCTATGGGGCCACGAAGCGATGTACTGGGTTTGGTGGGCGCATGCGGGCGGTAGCACTGGGGCCGTCGGTGGAGCTCCCTATGGGACCACGAAGCGCTGTACTGGGTGGGGGGGGGGACGCATGCGGGCGGTAGCACTTGGGCCTTCGGAAGAGCTCCCCATGGGGCCACGAAACGTATGAGGGGTGTGCCAAAGTGGCGGGTGAGGGCAGAGGCAAGGAGGGGAAGGAGAAAAGAGGGAAGGAAGGAGCAAGGAGGAAGGAATCATGAAAGAAGGAACGCGGGGCGGTGTCTCTTCAAAACGAGAACCCAACACCACAGGATGGTTGGGAACAATCTGGCTAAATGCGGTCAGATCCGCGGCTTAATCTGGCGCTATCCGGCACCATCGTCTTTGAATCAGGCTGGGTCGTCCTGGGCCATTCCTTCGACGACCTCCCAGGAGTTGCCTCTTCGTCGGGGGTCATCAACCTCGACGCTCGATTCTCGGGGTCCAGCCTTGCTGTCCTACAGTCAACCCGCATAGTAAGGATGGGCAACCCTCCCAAGGGTACCCTTGCATCCTTGCCCTTCGGCCCATCCTTGGCCGCTTTCGTTGGCCGCGGCCCGCTCGAAAAGCTTCGAAATGGGCGTCCAAGGCCCTTGCATCCTCATCGCGCATCCTTACTATACGGGTTGACTGTAAGGGTCCCTGGGCCCCTCGGGTTGGCCAGCCACGACCTCGGGGACGGCTGCGCGGCGCTGGCGTGGGCAACTGCACCTCCGCCAGCGGCTGCGGGACCTCGCGGGAGCTCGCCGCATCCGCCCAGCAAACCTGCATCAGCGACCAAAGGACGCGGGAGAGAAAGTGGGTGTCAACGATCAAAGGAGACAAAGGTACCCATGCCTCTACCCTTCCCTCGTTTTCCCCTTTTCTGGGCCTCCTGGGCGGCCCTCGTCGCCACCGCTGAATTCGCCTTGAAATCCTGGTCAGAACGCACCCCAGGAGAGGTCTGGGAAGCGGCGGTATCAGTGCCTTTTGGTTGTCCCCAAACGACACAGGATGCGGGAGTCGGCGGCGAGCGAGGGGGGGAAGTGAGAAGGGGCGGGCCCTCTCAGAAGTCTCCGAAGTTCCGCGGCCTTCTGAGAAGTTTCCTGAGCATTCCCCGAAGACAGACAAGAATTTCTCAGAAGGCGCGAGGGCTTCTGAGAAGTCCCCCCTTCCCATTTCCCTCCCTCGCCCGCCGCCTACGGAGAGAAGGTGGGCGTCAACAACACGTTGCCGTTGGGGGCCCGTCAGCGTGCGCTTCCTTCGTCGGCGTCGCGGCGTCGCCGTCGACACCGCCGTCGTTGTGTTCGATGTGCGCCCGACAGACGTGCATCAGCGACCAAAGGATCCGATGCCAGCGTTATCGTCGACGTCGTATTCGCCTTCTCCCCTCCTCCTCCTCCTCCTCCTCCTCCTCCTCCTCCTCCTCCTCCTCCTCCTCCTCCTCCTCCTCCTCCCCATTCTTGTCCTCCTCCTCGAGGATCCCTTGCCCGATGGACAATTCGCGCCCGTGCTGCGAGCCCTTCATCTGCAACCATCGCCTCATGGACTGGGGCTACTGCAACAAGAGGGGCTGAGCGGGCTCTGCGCGCGGGGCGCTCCCTCGTGAGGGCCCTGGCCTCCAACCGTTGTGCTCCGTCCGTGCCCCCCCGGGAGCACTCGACCCCATCCTGGGGTTCTGTTCGGCCGGTGTGCCTGGGTGGCTTGCTGATTGCTTCATGGCGCTTCGAAGCGGCACCCGGTGGCGCATCGTGCGCCGTCGTCGCTTCTCGCCGCCAGAGGTGTGGGGGGAGTCCTCGGCGCGGGAGCGACCTTGGCGAGCGTGTCAACCGCTTTGACACTTGGCTGCCCACGTGAGATCGCACGCAGGTGCCCTCGTTTACGCTGCGTGCTGCCCCAGTAGGCTTAAGTCGGACCCGTCCCTCTACAGGGGGGATATTCAAAGAGAGGCAAACAATGGTCTGGGAACTATGTTTTGAGTATTTGTTGGCATCTTTTGAATGTGTTTGAATATTTTTTATTTTTCATCCAAAACCCCCCTGTAGGGAAACAGGCCCGACCTAACAGTAGGCCCGCGCGAGCAGTCTCGCAGGGTCGCCACGTTCTCCCGCGCCTGTACCCCTTACTGTCTGTCGCCCAGCTCACGGCGACGCTGCGGTTGGTGCTTGAGCCTACAGTCCAGACGCTGAAACAAGGAACAGTGTAGGCTCAGAAGGGGCTCGATTTTTCTTAGGTTCCTCCAGTGCTGTTCCTCTTGCTCTCCTGGGGTACGGAGGCGCTTACAGGGCCAAGAAGGGGTTTCGTTCCTTATTTAATCGCTTCGCTCATTCCGCCGGCCCATACAGTCTCATGTCTGCGGTTTGCCCGAGGGCCTGGTGTCAATGCGGCGCTTTGGGGGTTCCTGGGGCGCTCGGGGGGGCATTTGGGGGGCCTCCTGGGGCCGCTTGGGGGCCGCTTGGGGGACTCTTGGGGGCCTCCTGAGGGCCTCGTCGGGGCCTCTTGGGGCCTCTTAGGGGCCTCTTGGGGCCTCGGAGGGGCTTCTTGGCCGAGGGCTGGAAATGTTGTTTCGAGGGCTGGAAATGTTGTTTCGTCTTGTTCCCTCTCTTGGGGCGTTCTTGGGGCCCTCTCTTGGGGGCCGTCTTGGAGGCTTCTTGGGCCGTCTTCGAAGGCCATCTTGGGGCCCTCTTGGGGGCCTCTTGGGCCCTCTTGGGGCGATCTTGGGGGCCTCTTGGGCCGTCTTGGGGCGTCGGGAAGCCGAAAAGGTGGAAGCTCCAAAATCTCTCAAAAACCTAAGGAAAATCAATGAATTTTGCCTCCGGAGGCCCTCTTGGGAGTGCTCTTGGAGGCCTCTTGGGGCGTCTGGGGGCCATCTTGGGCGTCTTGGAGCGATCTTGTGGCATGTCGGACCCCTCGTGTACCATCTTGGGGGCCTCTTGGGGGCCTCTTGGTTTTGTTTGGGTCCTCGGGGACGTTTTCGGAGCCCTGTTGGTGCGCTCATGGGGCGCTCGGGGGGACCCGGCCGGGACCCGGCCGGGACCCGGCCGGGACCCGGCCGGGGACCGGCCGGGACCTGGTCGGGGTACTTTTCGTCCGGGGACCCCCAGGGGCTGCCCCGCGCGCGCGAACTAGAGAATTGTGAACCAGTTACCGGAGATCTTAGCACGCCTCTGGCCCGTTGGGCCGGCGAATTTAGCATTCCTTCTTTCAGCGGCCCGACTGTATCCCAGCAGTGCGCAGGCCAAGTCCACGGCACACGTCCTTGATGTCGCCAGCATGCCTTCGTCTTGTGAGTTGTTTTCCCCCCCCCACACACACGTACCCCATCGGAAAGTTCCTCGGTCCGCTATGGAAGCAGATGCAAGTGACGGGTGTGCGATTGTTTGCTTGGGCCCTGCGAGCTCGTAGTTTGACGTTTCGTGGCATGCGTGATGTGTGCAAAGCTGTGCGCGAGAACCGATGGCTGGTCTGCCTTGTGTGGAGGGGCGGTTTCTCTTCTTTCTGAATGGTGGCGGGACGGGGCAGTTCTTTGGTATCCGTTTGAGTGTTGTCCTAACAATTTGGCCGTCGGGGTGTGTTTGTGCCCAGACTCCGGGTGGTGATTATTAGTTCTAGTCGTTAACAACAGTTCACACATTTTGTAGATTGGGTTAAGCGGACAAAGCCCAACATGTTGCGCATGTGTACCGGAAGTAGCGGATTAATGAGTGATGATAATTTGCAGTAGTTCGAACCGCGATGTCCCGAATGCGCATGCATGCTGGTTTAAGCTAGAAGCGCATGTTGGTCGAGTTCGATCCAGAATATGAGGGCATTTGTCGGGATTACGAATGCTTCATGGCGATCCCGAGTATGCATTACTTCATGTACTCAGGTATTGCCCTATAAATCAATACGCTAAACCAGGAGATATCTCCTCTTCACTATCTGTTGGCCACGCGCCGCAAGGTTGCTATATGGATTGTGTTCTTGCTGCAATCTGCGCTCTGTTGATAGCCAGACAGGAGGGCCTTCTCTATTGCTGGCGCGCGCGGGAACTGTTCTTGTCTTGGGCCGGTGACCTGCATGCCGAGTTGCAGGAACAAATCTTTGAGTTTCTCGCCTTCATTGCAGCCTGTCGGCAGAAGGCTATGGAGCAGATCTAGCCTGGTCGCAGAGGTCGGTGCATTCTCCGCCAGATGTCTGGTTCGGAAAGCTACTGATCGGGCGAGACGTCGAAGAGGCGCTGGTTGGCGCAAGCTATCTACGGGGCTTTCTTCGAGCGGAGGGGCTTCTCTTCAGGGGTCTTCCACCACCTCGTTCCCCATCCCTTGCAGCCAAGACCTTGAACTGATCACCATCTTCGGCCCAGGACCGTGTTGGTCAGGCCGGTCCTCAAACCTAGGTGGTGGGACCTACTGGTGGCCAGAAAATTGAGCATTTTCTTAGGGTGGAGGGCTCAGGGTGAAATCCATATGGGCTTCTGCACCTCGAAAGTAAACACCCCCCCGTATCGTGATTCATCTTTTGCAGACTCAAGCCTCGAGAACCAATCGAAACAGCACTTCAGATTTCACCCTGCGCCCTCCACCCAGAGAAAATGCTCGGGAAAAGCCCCTTCGTTCTTTGTTCAGCGTTCCTTGTGGCTTGTGGTCGCACGATGACTGAAGGCAGAGAGCACTATCCATCTCCGGGTGGGTCCAGTCAGGGCGAGGAGCAGAGCGTGCCAGTGCGCGTGAGCGGGAGACGGTTGTTTACCCGCCGCTCTCTGGAAGCTCGGGCCCTCCTGCTCCTCCTCCTCCTCCTCCTCCTCCTCCTCCTCCTCCTCCTCCTCCTCCTCCTCCTCCTCCTCTACTTCGGCATTGCCCTACATGTAAAACGCTTTCTCTCTCGCGGAAGCCGAGGAGGACCTTGAGGGTTGCCAATCGCGCATCTTGAATCTTTCAACCAAGCAAGCACGCTTCTAATCCCCAGGAGGTGGTGCTTGTCTGAGTTTGGCTGGCGGTGCAGCAGTGCGGACCTCGTCTATGTTGCGGCCATGACGCGGGAGCCAGGGCCGGGCCTAGACATTCACTAGACAGTGCCGAAGATTGCCGCCCTTGCGTGTCCCAGAGTAGGCATGCGTTGGACAGCGTCGAGAGCGCCAGGCTACACATTCGCGTGCGGTGGGCTGTACAAATACGAGAGCTCTTGGTTGCATCTCTGCACGGATTTCAGTGCGCTGCCTGCGGACGCAAAGCATGTCTCCCCCAGCGATGTCACCTTTTTTGGAGTCGGGGTCTCTGGAGCGGGCCACTTGTGCTTTAGTTGGAATTTGGGAGTTGCTTGTTGGGGGGTGCGAAGTGCACGAGGGGTGGGCTTTTCTGGGGCGCGGGCGCAGCACGCAAACGGGAACTGGGCATCGTGGCGCACCTCGTAAAAGCGTTGGCGGGAATTTTCTTCTGAGGGGTCCTGAGAGGGGGGTTGGGGCGTGTGCCAGTCAGCGGCTCCGTAAATGCACCTTGTGAAGTTTGCGAGAGTCGGACGGGGCTAGGACGACGATAGTCCCAGAGCTTTCCGAAACGCTCTGCGGCGCCCGAGACATCCTCCAGAGCCGCCAGATCTTTGATATTCTCGATTTCTCCCCGCCCGATTTAATCTTCGTCCTAGCTTCGTCGTAGAGAGAGGGAGGGGCGACGGGGTGCACCGTGCAAATGCGGCTGTACGGTTGCATTGTGTAGACCCACCAGTTTGGGTCTTGAGCCATGGGGGCGACATGAGCCGTGGGGAGTTGGGGGCGTGCGCGGCACGATGAAATGTACCCACGCGTGTCGTTCTCTTCCATCGACGCAATAGATTCGGCAGGGATGACAGACAGAGCAATTTCGTCGAACTCCGTTAGAAAGACACCTGCGTAAAAATAGCCATTAAAACCAGAAACCAAATCACCCATTCTGGAACTAAACGGCACTAGAGCTAAGCCCCCCACCGCCTCCAATGGTTTTGGTATATGTTTGCCACCAGCTGCTGCGCACAGTGCGAATGACATGATTTCATCGCAGAAGCCCAGCGGGAGCAGAAGGTAAACCTCTCGAGGCAGGACACCGTGGCGGCGAGTCCCGCCCGATTTGCTCAAGCTGACTCCCTGTTGCCCGCGGGCGGCCGTGCGCCGACATTTAGGCAATGCTTCAGCGCTGGGTCCGGCAATGCCGCACGCTGGATCTGCCGCAGTTCGGTGCGATACCGAGCCAGGTTGGGGGGCAGCGAAGGGCCTCTTTCGACGCAGCTCTGGCGACGAATCGCCGGGGTCAGGGCGCAATCAGCTGTCCCAGCCGCGAGATTGAATTCTGTGTTCACGGCCCGAATCGCTTGAGCTGCAGAGAGGTGCATGTGGCACATGTTTGAGGGAGGCGGGCGAACATTGATTCAGAGATAATGGAGGTGCGCATGGCCGACACGGCCTCCTGCTAATCTCTCTCGTGTTCCATCTTTCTCCCTCCACCTTGTCTCCTCGTTCCATCCCCCCCTCTCTTCCCTGTTTAATGCTTCGGTCGACCCCCATTGGGGGTATGGTTCAAGACGAAGAGGGCGGATATCGAATGTTCGGGAGATACGCGTTGACTGGCACGCGAGCAGATAAGAGCGATCAGCTGTAAAATGATTGCTGCTGTTGTTGTTGTTGTTGTTGTTGTTGTGTTGTTGTTGTTGTTGTTGTTGTTGTTGTTGAATTCCCATGTCTCATGATTGTTGTTGTTGTCGTTGTTGTTGTTGTATTGGCGATCCCCTTCAGTGGCCGTGGTGTTTTTCCAATTGAAGTGGTCCTCCAGGGGCTCGCACCCTGTTTTGCATTCGGGAACAGTTTGAGGCTCGGAAGGGGTTGTTGGCCTTGGACCTGCAGTAACAACGCCTCCTGCCTCATACTTCCTCACAGTGTATTTGAGAATCGCGTTCTCGCGCGGGACGCTCTCACAACTTATGCAGATATCGCGCTCTCGCGTGGTACATCCTTGCAATTTATTGGAAAGCCGTGCCTTCGACACTCAAGAATTACGCTCTCGCTCTTTTTTGCTTGTTCGCATTGTTTGTTTTGGAATCGGTCGGGCTATCGCTTGAGTTGTACTTGCGATTCGAAAGGGACGCACACTTCAGCAACCCGCCTGCTCCATTGCCGCCTGGGTCCGCCTTCCTGACACTCCCGTTAAGGTGTTCCCACCCGATCCGATCTGCCCGTCTGGTTCTGCCACGTGTTTTCTGCTCCTAGCCCCGGTCCTGCTAGTCTCTCTCGTGCTCCTTCCTTCTCGCTTCCAAGTGTCCCGTCCTTCCATCCGTCCTCTCTCCACAGGTTTTAGTGTGTGCATCAAATGGGCGGCGAAGAATTTGCAGGGTGGGTGGCGCCTTCAAACCTGCCAAAAAGGCATGCCCAGACGTCTCGGGAGGCTGGGGGTGCCGGAGTGCAGGAAGGGTGCCAGCGAAGAATTTGCAGGGTGGGTGGCCGTTAAAATATACCCAAATCATATGCCCAGAGGCCTCGGGAGACAGGAGGGTGCTGGGGTGCAGGGGGGGGGGCCAGCGAAGAATTTGCAGACTGGGTGGCCTCTGAAAACGTAACAAAAACGCATGCCAAGACGCTTCGGGAGGCCGGCGGTGCCGGGGTGCAGGGGGGGGTGCCGGCGAAGAATTTGCAGGGTGGGTGGCTCTAAAAACCTACCGAAAACGCATGCCCAGAGGCCTCGGGAGGCTGGGGGTGCCGGGGTGCAGGAGGGGGGGGGCAGCGAAGAATTTGCAGGGTGGGTGGCGCCTTCAAACCTACCAAAACGCATGCCCAGACGTCTCGGGAGGCTGGGGGTGCCGGGGTGCGGGGGGGGGGCTGGCTGAGATTCTCAGCCAGGGCTGCAGGGCGGGTGGGTCTGCAGGCATCGTATGCAGATAGTGAAAATGATGATGCATAGGGTGGCATCGTATGCAGCTGAGAAGGACGCCCCGCACGCCTCATGGGGTCGGCGGATTCAAGGATTGGCTGTCCCATCGTTCACAAAGGACTTGCTCCACGAGGCTTGCTCTTCCGATGTTGCGTTGTTGGGCATCGACGCGGGACGCCTCGTTGGTGGAAACCTCACAGGTTGGTGCGACCACGAAGTGGCTCTCATAGCTTGCGACCACGGCGCGGACACTTACACAGTCTGGACCTGGGGCGCGAGGCTGCACCTAACGAGGGCTGACATCTTCGAGCCTCGCTATACTCGTTCCAGGATGTCGCCCAGAAGCAAGGGGTATCCGAGGAATCCCTGGCGAACTACACGAGCAACGCCAGCGCGTTCGGCGGCGTGATCTGCACGGCGATCCTCTCGGACAACATCACTTTCGCGACGCTGTGAGGAGAGGCCCCGCCGCGGCATGGGACCGCAGATTTTCGGAGCCTGGGCGGTCATGTCCTGCCCCTCCCCTTCCTCGAGTGGCAGCGCGCTGCGTGGCGGGCCCGCCCCGTCGCAAGTGGCTCACGACTTGCCATGATGAGGGGCACACATATCAAAAGGCTGCCGCCTCTGCCGCTGGCCCCAAAGAAGGTTCCCCGCGCAGTTGAAGTTCATGGCTCGGGAACTTGGTGAAGCAGGGGTCCAGAGGTTCCCTTCCTGCACTCGTTTGTGTTCGGCGTTTGTGCTTTTCGTTGGGGCGACTATCCCAAGATGCCATCTAGGGGTTCGCTCCGGTTGCCTGGCGACTTCTGTGTCCTGGTGTCCAGAGTGTACGTTGGGCCGTCTTCGGTCAATGTTGGGTTTTCTTGAGGGCATTTGGAGGCCAGGTTGGGCTTTGCGGGGCTGTCTTGCTCTCCTCCGCTGCCTTTCGGCCTCTCCTCGTCCTCTTTCCCCTCGCCTCCTCGGTGTTTTGGCCTTCCGCTCCTCGAGCAGCTCCCATGATGGCCATGATGATGATGGGAGGAGGAGGAGAAGGAGGATGAGGAGGAGGATGATGATGATGATGGTGATGGTGATGATGGTGATGGTGATGATGATGATGGTGTTGATGCTGATGGTGAGGCTGATAATGATGCTGCTAATGATGAAGGTGATGATGATGCTGATGCTGATGGCGATGTTGATGTTGATGGTAATGATGCTGATGATGATGGTGATATTGATGAGTATGAGGATGAGGATGATGTTGCTGGTGATGATGATGCTGCTGATGATGATGATGGTGATGATGATCATGGTGATGATGATGGTGTTCATAATCATGCTGATGCTGATGCTGACGGTCATGATGATGTTGATGTTGATGGTGATGATGCTGGTGATGGTGATGATGATGATGTGTGTGTGTGCTGATGATGATGCTGATGCTTGTGATGAGGATAAGGGTGAGGATGATGATGCTGGTTGTGGTGGTGATGATGCTGATGATGGTGGTGGTGGTGGTTGTGGTGGTGGTGCTGCTGATGGTGGTGGTGATGGTGTTGATGATGCTAATGCTGATGATGGCACTGATGATGATGATGATGCTGATGATGATGATGCTGATGCTGCTGATGATGATGATGATGATGATGATGATGATGATGATGATAGTGACGTGTTTGTTGGTCGTGGTGGTGGTGGTGATGATAGTGACGATGGTGGAGATGGTGATGGTGACTGTTGATGACAATGATGATGGAGATGCTGATCCAAGGTTCGAGAGGCCACGCAATATATTGTCAGGCCAGTTTGGCCTGAGACATCGTTGCAACTCGCAACGCGTGGCTCCCACATGCCCTGGCCTGAAGTGGTCCTGCCTGTATCGCCCGAGATCCCTTCGCGCTTCCGAGGTTGTAATGCCCCGAGAGGCCACACAACAGGTTGTCTGGCCAGTTTGGCCTGAGCCATTTTCGCAACTCTGGGCTTGGAGATGCCCTGACCCGAGGTGGTCTGGCCAATATCGCCTGAAACATCGTGCCGCCGAGGGCCCAGGCCCGTCCTAAAAGGCTTCTGACGCGTCTCCAGAGGGGCCCCAGACGGCGCAAGAGGGCCCCGAGCCGCAGACAACAAATATTCCAGGCGCTCTTGATGGCTTCCAGGTGGCCCAAACCGTCACCAAGACGCTTCACGAGAGCATCCAGACGGCCCAAAACGCCACCAAGACGCTCCAAGAAGGTTCCAAGGGGCATCCCCAGGGGACCCCAAGAGGCAATGGCCCTGCGTGCTGGATAATGTGTTCTCGAGTGTCTCCGTTCCGCTGCCGTTTTTGGGCTCTGCCAAAAACTTGAAGACGGTTGTGATGCTTGGCCCGCTCGCCCAGGTAGCGTCCGCCAGCTTCGCGGGCAGTTGGCTGGGGGGGGCCGCTCGCGCATGCCACTGTGACTGTGCGTGCGCCTGCCACACCAGCTCCGACGACGGGGCCTTGAAGCTGCTCGAGAAGCAGCTCGACAGGTGCGGGCCCGAGCACCTGTGCCCGCAGTGCCCGACCTGCCCACAGTGTCCAGGGCCTACCCCTTGCCTGCCGCTCTGGCCTGCTGGGCTGGGCGGCTTCGTGGCGGGCGTCGCCACCACCGCGCTCGCGGCGCTGTTCGCTGGGCGCTGCAGGGGCCGCCGCGAGGGGGCCCGTCCGGCTCGCGCCGTCGGGCCGAGCCCGCCGTTGGGCCTCGCGGACGGGCCCGCGTCGTTTGTGCCGGCGCCGGCGCTGGCCGCTGCCCCGGAGCCGAGGGCTCCTGCGGCGCTGCCGGGCGCGTCGGCGCTTCGGGGGCGGGCCTCGCACCGCGGGGCCGGGGTGCTGACGTTCGGCTGAGGCCGGGGCCCGCGCGGACAGCGGCATGTCGTCGCTCGCGCCTGGGACCTATGCTTTCGTGCAGTACAATGACCCGGCCGACAACGGGCTCTGGCATGAGCGCTTGATCTTGGGCTGGGTCACTGCATCGGAGTACATTGTGATGACCCCAGATGGGGATGTCTTCATAGAACAGCTCGACTCGGCGAACGCGGACCTGTCAGGTATCCGTTTTTCGCCTTCGTCGGGGGGCTTGCCCGCTGGCCTCGCGGGAGCGCCGCTCTACCGCTTCGCGGCGCAGCCTGCTGGGGCCGAGCTGACGGCGCTGCTCAACGAGGGGGCTTCGCATGCTCGCGTGGAGCGCCAGGCGAGGGGCTTGGCGCAGCCGCCCGGCGCGGGCATGGCCGGCGGCCCGGGCGGCGTTGCCCCGGCGGTGGTGCCGATCCCGCTGCCGGTCGCGCCGCCCCCGGCGGCAGCCGGCGCGCCCCCGCCGCCTCCGCCCGCCCCGAGGG